TCCGCTCCTCCTCTCCTTCCATCCCTCCTCCCCTTTCCTCTCTTTTCCTTTTCCCTCCCCTCCCTCCTCCCATCCCTTTGCTTTCTTTTCTTCTTCCTCTTTCTTCTCCTTCCTTCATCCCTCCTCTCTCTTCCTATCTGCCCTTCTCTTCCTCCTCTTCTTCCTTTCCATTAACGTTATACATTATGAAATATTTTGAACATAATAAAAAGTCTAGAAAGTGATGTTGCAGACACCTGGGTACCCACGACTCAGGTGGTAAAATCCAGGGTCTGGTCCAGATCTCCTCTGACCGCCGTGCCAGCAGCATGGGACCCAGCGCTGTCTCTTCGCCTGGCTTCCGGGAGGGATCACCGTCTCCTGCTGCTTCTCCCGCCCCACAGGCCTCTCCTTCTCAGACTCCTGTGGTTTCTCCTTAGCCTCCTCGTGCCCCTGCCTGTGAACACTGGGCCTCCTCCCTGCTCTGTCTACATTTATTCCAGGGCGTCAGTGATAGGGACCCCCAAAGCTCAGCCTCCGCCCTGGACCTCACACTCATGCATCCAGCTGCCCGCTCCCTCTCTGTCATTCAAAACTGAGCTCCTGGTCCTCCCCAGAGTTGCTACTCCTCTCATCAGACACCCCCCTGCCACCTCCTTCCTCTGGGTGCTCGGGCCAGAACCAAGGACTGTCCTGGACTTTTCTCGTGCCCTCCTGCCCCACCTCCGAGCCAAGGTTGGTTCTACATTCCAAGCAAGGCCACTTCTCCCCCGTTTCCAACTGGGACAGGCCATCCTCCTCTCGCCCTGGATGATCACAGACGCTTCTCGTGTCTCCCTGGTTCCTTGCTCTCCTCCACACGCAGCAGCAGAGCGGCCCATCTGGAGGGTCCTTGCCCCAGGTTCTGTGTAGCTTCCCTCAAGTCACCTCCTCTGAGAGGCTCTGCCCGGCCACCGTTCCAGCCCCACCTCCTTTTCCCGCTTGCTTAGAATGCCAGGCGTCATCACCACCGTAAACACTACATAGATCCGCTGGTTCATTTTGTTCAGTGTCTTGTCTACCCCACCAGAATGCAAATTCTCTACGGCAGGGGCTTTGTCTTCCTTGTTTACTGCTGAACAATGCCTGGCTAATAGGTACTCAGGAAGTGTTTGCTGAATGAATGCGTAAGTGAAGGAGTCTAATAGATTGCAACATTTGGGCATATTTGCTTCAGAGCAGATTCATATTCTCTCTGCCTCTCTTTAGGGAAGGACAGCGAAGTGTTCATAGCTCCCTGCCCCCGGCCCGGCCCCTCTCCCTCCATTATCAGGAATGACCATTATATCCATGCATATTTTATAGTCTTACTGCAAATGCACAAATAAACAGGATAGAGTTTTGCTTCATGTGTGTTTTTAAAATTGTGTGGAAATACAGCTAACATAAAGTTTAGCACCTTAACCATATTTAGGTGTATGGTTCAGTGTGTTAAGAACATGCATGAGCCCTAGCCAGTTTGGCTCAGTGGATAGAGTGTCGGTCTTTGGCCCAAAGGTTCCTGGGTTCGATTCCGGTCAAGGGCACGTCCTTGGTTGTAGGCTCCTTCTCGGCCTGGGCCCTGGTTGGGGCTTGTGCAGGAGGCAATCAGTCGATGTGTCTCTCACACCAATGTTTCTCTCTGTCTTTCCCTCTCCCTTCCACTGCCCCTAAAAGTCAGTGGAAAAATATCCTGGGTGAGGATTAACAACAAAAAAAGAAAGAAAGAAAAAAGAAAATGCATGTTATTCTTCAACCGTTCCCCGCCATCAGTTTCCAGAATGCTTTCATCCTGCAAAACCGACAATGTCTCCACTAAACAGCTAGCTCCCCGTCCCCTCTCTCCTCCCCCAGCCACTGGCAACCACCCTTCTATCGTCTAGCTGTGTGGTTTTTACTGCTCCAGAGAAGTGGAATCATACACTGTTTGTCTTTTGTGACTGGCTTAGTTCACTTAGCGCAGTGTCCTCAGGGTTCATCCATGCTGGAGCCTGTGAAAGAAGCTCCTTCCTTTTTTATGGCTGAGTAATACTCCTCGGTATGGATGGACCCCTCTTGTTTATCCGTGCGTCTGTCGGTGGACCCTTGGCTGTGTCCGCCTTTGGCCGTGGTGAACAGTGTGACTATGACCATTTGTGTGCACACACCCCTGGGAGACCCTGGTTCCAGTTCCTCTGGGCACACAAGAGGGATGGTGGAGCCTGTGGTAACTGTGTTTATTTTTTGAGGTTCTGCCATGCTGTTTTCCGTGAGGCTGGACCATTTTGCCTTCCCACCAACAGTTCACAAGGGTCCAGATTCTCCCCACTGCGCCAACGCTGATTTTTGGTTGGTTTGTTTGTTTGTTTTAGAGTAGCCATCCTAACTGGTGTGAGGTGGCGTTTTGTGTGTTTTTAAAACTTAGATGGCATCGTACTATGTATAAGCAGCGTGGCCTGTGTTCTCTCTCTCTCTCTCTCTCTCTCT